GCTGGCCATGCACATGTTGAAGTCTTCTTCTTCTTCTTTACTCAAATATATATTTATTGATTTGTATATTTATTCATGGCTTCCTACAATTCACGTGTAGATTATCAGCAAATAAACCTGCCCACACAATGCATTCATTCAGTGTGAAGGAAGGCAGAATTCATGACAACCTAACCTGAAATAATTTGCAGTGAGTGTTTAACGCAAGGCTGTCCATGTAAAATCATACAGCTGGAAGGGAACCCAAAGGTCATCGAGACTGACCCCTTGCCAGTGCAGGAAGCCCACTGTAACAGAATCCCTTTCAGGCAAAGGGCTGCAGCTCAGTGAGCCCCAGATTCAATCCCTGATGGCATCTCCAAATTGGGCAGGGAAAGACACCCTGCTTGAAACCTGCAGTGTTGCTGCCAGTCAGTGCAGACACTGCTGGGGTACATAGGCCAGTGGTCTGACTCAGTATAATGTAGCTTCCAAATAGACGTTTTTAAGCAGAGGCTGGTGACAACCTAATGAAGGGCAGCCCACACCCTTCTGAGGCAGCTGCAGTTTAGTTCCCCTGTCAGACTGTTTATAATGCCTTCACATTCTAAATATGGTCTAAATATTTTTTTATTATCATTTGTACCCCCTGGTTCAGACCCTACAGACATTTGAAGATGGCTAGTGCCTTGATGCCTTGTGAGAAGGCAGTATCCAAGTACTTTTATGAATACAATTAAAACATCAATAACAATATTGCCTGTTAATTGTCTGTTCTCCAGGCTAAACATATGCAGTTCCTTCAACCTTTCCTGTCACCCTCTTCTGAACACGTTTATCTGTATCCTTCTTAAACTGCAATACCCAGACCTGGAAATAATGTTCCACGTGAGATCTGACACCAAGCAGAACAGTAGCACCATTACTTTTTGAGATCTGGGCATTATGCTTCTGTTGATACAGCCTAGAATGGCATGAGCCTTGTTTGCTGCACTGTCACGCTGCTGACTTACACTCAGCTTGCATTCTATTAAACCCCTTAGATCCTTTTCACATTGACTGCTGGTAAACCATCCTGAATCTTACTGTTTTACACGTACCGCTGTTGAAATTGGTTATGATTGTTTTGACCTCAGTTCTCCATCCTATCCAGAGCATATTGGGTCCTGTTTCTGTCTTATGCATGATTTGCTACTCCACCCAGTTTGGTATCCCCTGCAAACCTGATAAGTATCCCCTCCACTCTTTTGCCCATTTAATCTCTAAAGATCTCAAACACGGGGGCTAGGATAGAATCCTGTGACACCCTGCTTCTCCCCAGGTTGATGAGATGCCACTGAGAGCCATTCTTTGGTCCATCAACCAGCTACAGTAGTATCACCCACCCCAAATTTACCAGCCTGCTAACAAGAACATCAGAGGGAACATATTAAAAGGCTTTGCTGAACTAAAGATAGTCTATATCCGAAGCATTCCCCTGATCTACCAGGCATTGGTGCAACTTAGCAAAGGATCTTCACGCACTCACCCAATCCAGTCAAGCAATGACCTGACACTGAAGGTAGTACGTCATTCTTCTCAAGGCAGGGAGGCGTCCCAGCACAGCTCCTGCTCCCTAATCCTGCCCTTAGTCCTGCACATTGATACACTTATGTGAACAGCTGCCACCTCCAAGGGACAGCTGGACTGAATCTGAGGTAGAACACTTGGCCAGCCCAGGTACTGCATAAACCATCTGTCCCCATCACCCTTGACTTCAGGCGATGCTGGCTGTATGGATGATGGGGGATGAAGTCCAAAACATCTGCAGGGTGCCATGTTGGCAAAGGCTAGCTCAAAAAATGGTGTAACTCAGTGTGTTGCTGGCAGCTAGTCGGGCATGATGGGGTTGTGCCAGCAGGCAGGGCAGTAGTGCCCTGAAGGCAAGAATGGATGTGCACTAGGGATGTGCAGGGAAAGAGCACACCTTGAGATCACACAGGTACAAAGGGCTCTAAGTCCCACTGCAAAGGCCAGCACATCTTGGCTTGACAGTACTTCCTGCCCCATATTCAGGCAAGTGAAATCACAAAGGATCCTCCCCACCCCCCAGCACCCCCCATCCCAGCTTTTTCCGAGGCGTCATTCCTCTGAGGATAACAAGATCTATGTGTTCCTGGAAGTGCTTCAGATCCAGCTGAAGGCAGAGACTCGGGGAGAAGGTCCACAAACAGCTCTTCTTGGCTTCAGGCTCCCCAGTTAAAAAGACCCACATTATGCACATGTTCTAGCACAATTTGTAAAGCTGATTTGGAATGCAAGTTTTATGATACACATTTCCCACTTGGGCTGGGAATTAGGTTTCCCGGGCAACTCTGGGGCCGGGGAGGAGGAGAGGCTTCTCCTTTTGGCGGGTGGGTGTGGAATGCAGGATGCCAGCCTCTGCCTACTTGCTTGGTAGCAAAGGAGCTGAGAAAGCATTTGTTCCTTACTGAAGCTCTAGGGGTTGGAGGTGGGGCGTGCACAAGAGCACCTGGAAGATTTAAATGCCACCCTGATCTGTGGCACAGGAGGAGCTTTTTCCACATAAAAACAGAAGATGGAAGTGGCAATGATCCCAAGTCAAAGTGGCAGCACTGTGCAGGGTGTGCTGCTGGATTCAAAGGAGGCCTGGTGCCAGATGCCTGATGCGGTCCTGAAGTTGTTATGTGGACCTGTGCAAGCACTTCACAACCTAATTTACCCCGCAGGGCTGTTGTGAGCATTTTTATTTTTTAAGCCCAAAACCCAACACAAAGAGAACAGAAAGAACTTTGGGGCAATGCAATGCAAGACTAACTAAAATGGAAATCAGGCTCCCTCTGCTGGTACATCACCAGTCAGCTGGGCGTTGATAGGTGGGTACTTTAAAGGGCATAAAACCACAATGCCACATGCAGAAATGGATGCAGGCAGATTTATGCCTTGGAGCAAATTAAGATGGTGGGTTGAGCGGGGTCTGGGCAATGTGCCCTGGGTGCAAAGTTTAACAAGCAGTTATGTTTTTAAAAGGGGAAGGAGGTCTAGGGATGGTGTATAATGACCCCGGGGCTGCCCACCCTTACAAAGCCCCCTGCCAGTCACTCTATTTGCGAAGCTTCCAGCTCAACTCTCCATCAGGGTATTTGGCTGCTGCCAGCTGGCTTGGGTATATTTCACGTGGGAAGGCCTTCCTTTGGGTGAGGGCTGTTGCCAAATGGCCAAAATGAGGCAGGACTTGCTGCAGTGAGGAGGTGGACTGGCAAGGGGAGGGGAGGGGGCCAGCGGAGCTCACCCCACCTGCCCCATGCCTATGCTCCCCCACTTCCCTCGGCGGCTTTTAATTTGGAGAACCCAGAATGCCATCCAGACCCGCCCCTAGAGAGGCGAGCAGCTCCGCAGCTAACCACTGCACAATTCAGAAGCTTAAGCCTTCTATCCCCTGGACTTGGCTGGTTGGGGGGAGGGAAACCTGGGTTTTCCTCCTACGAGTCCGCTTTGCTGGCAGACAAGGCGGAGAGGTTTAGGAAAGGCGTCGCTCGGCCTGCGTAGCACTAGAAGATGGCGGGGTTTGGGGGCTCAGTCTCCCGGTACCTCTCCGCGCACCCAGAGAGGTACCTCCAGAGGAGGATAGACTGGGGTGGGGGTGTGGTAGCTGCAAGGAACTGGGGAAGACTTGACGCCCAGCACCCATGAGCCCAAAAGACACATGGAAGAGGAAAGTCCCCCAGTGCCCTGGGACAGGCACTTTGCACATGCTCTAAGAACTCGTTGTTGCGCATATGTCATGGCTTGGGCAAGGAGATTCGAGCTATATAGACCTAGCCTTGAGAGGGGTTGCCAGCCAGGCTCAACCAGTGCCCGGGACTCCCGCTCGTGTATAGAGTGCCGCTCCTCTCTGCCACCCTCCCCTTGCGCCGCCGCTCACCTGTACCACTCCAGGCCACGCTCGTAGTGCCTGTCGAAGAAGTGGGGCTCGGTGCCGAGGGCGCGCACGGCCGGGTGGCCGCGGATGAACTCCAGCACCGCGCGGGTGCCGCCTTTCTTGACGCCCACAATGAGTGCGTGCGGGAGCCGCTTGGTGCCCACGCTCCGGGAGGCAGGCGGCGGCGGCGAAGGCGGCGAGGAGGAGTCGTTGCCGGCCGTGGCGGTGGAGCTGGCTGCAGCCGGGCAGGCGCGCCACTTCTGCAGAAGTTTCTTGCGGGCGGCGGCAGCAGCAGGCAGGCAGCGGGCGGCCGTCCAGGGAGAGGCTGCTCTCGCTGCTGCCGCTGCTGCCGCCTCCCCGCTGGCCAGCGGCTCCGGCTCTGGCGCGCAGCAGAAGAGGAGGAGGCTGTAGCAGAGGTAGGTGCCGGCCAGCGAGAGGAGCGCGCCCAGCACCAGCGCCCGGCAGCGCCGCCGCCGCCGCCGGCTAAGCGCCATGGCTCCATCGCCAGCAGCCGGGCGCGGCGGGCCACGGCTCCCCTCGCCGGCGCCGTCGTCGGAAGCGCATCGGGCCGGGCGGAGAGGCGGGCGGAGAGGCAGGCAGGCGAGCTCGGCGGCCCGCCACTGGCGGCCCCGCTCCTGCTGCGGCCCCGCTTTAAGGGGCGCCTGACGTCAGCCGAGCCGGAGCCGCCCCCGCGGCAGCCCTGACGCTCCCGCCGCCTCGCCGGGCTGAGCCCCCGACGCGCCCGCAGCCGGTGCGGAGATCGCAGCCCCGGCTGGACTCCCAGTTCCCCCCAGCCTTGCACTGGGACATGTCACGCGAGTCAAATAAGGGAGAAATTGGGGATGCCCGTTTCTAAGTGGGAGTCGGAGGACGCTCTTCGTTTTCCTTATGATTGATGATCTTTTCTGAAATTGATATACTGTACAAGGGATCCCAAGACGGCCAAAGCGCAAGCGAGAACACAATTTAAACATCCAAAAACAACCCCCATACAGCCCGGGAAAGTTTTCCCTTTAAAAATGAACCAGGTGCCTCTGAGCACGTGCAGAGTGCCTTCTCTGCGCCCTGGGGAAGTCCCAGTGGGATTGGGCACGCTTACCCGGACAAACAGTTGGCTCCTTTGCGCAAGGAGGCTCCGTGGCTGCCGATGCAGCCTCCGGCTCCGCTCTATGCCTTCCTCCTTCTCCTCCTGCTCTAGGGCCACCAACATTACGCACTACTGCGCAGCTTGCCTGAGCCGGCCTGGTCCTTCTCGCGCACCGCACCGCCAGCGCAGTGCGCGCAGCCTCCTATCGGAGGAGTACGCATCCAGCGCTTTGTGAAGCACCCTTAGGATGACACCCATCTTTGCGCTCCGCCTCAGTGACACGCTAATGCCCCAATAGAGCCGGGTTTCTTTAGCGCAACGCGCGAAGCTGACCCGCCTAGCCTGTCGCCGAGGCCTCGGGCCTTTCCCAGCTCGGGAACCTCCGAGAGTCAGTCTTTTGTGTGCAGGCGGCTGCAAGGATTGAACCGGGGACTCCAGACTGCGAGGGGCTGCTGGGGGCCGGGGACGGGAGAGCGTGAGCCCCCGAAGCTACTGGTGGCCCGAGGTGCCTCCTCCTCCTCCGGCTTCTTCATTGCAGAATTGTATTGATTTTGAAAAGCGAGGCTTTCTGCTGTCTCTGTGGTGCTCTGGATCGTTTTGCATGCGGCGCAGCGCTCCGAGGGCTGCTTTGGTGGCAGCGGAGAGCAATAGGAGACGTGCCAAATAAGGAATTGAAGACGCACAAAGAGAGCCCAGCGGCGGCCCTTGCCCGGGTATTAACGTACACACAAACACACGGCTGAGTGGGTGGGGAGGGGCAAGGAGGGGCAGAAGGTGCGGGCCTTGCCTGCTCCTTGGATGTTCACCTACGGGAGGACAGCGCCAGGGCCGGGCTGCAAGGACCCGGGGGAGCAGCCAGCAGCGGCGCCAAGCGATTCTGCAGAGCAAATAAGATTAAAGGCAACCGCAGGAGCCTTGATATCTTCTTCAGGTTCTGGCGAGAGGCAGATCAAAGCTGTCAAATGTTTCACAGCAGGAGAAGAGGGCGAGGAGGAGGAGGAAGGAGGCGAGGAAGAGATGTTTCTGCCTGGGGCAGGTGGTGCTTCTGCCAGCCTGGCCAAGTTGATTTCATAAGGGGCGGTTCTGGAGACCAGGATGCCGGACTGGATAGGCCCCTTTTGGCCTGATCCAGCAGGGATCTTCTTATGTTCTTTCATTCTTAGATGCTCTCATGGGGTAGGCGTATGAACCTGGAGCAAGTACCAGTCTTAAGGAGCCAGGAGGGCTTGACTGGAGTCTGGGCACACCAAGGCACAGTGCAACAGCCTAGGAATGAGTGCCTCTGAGGATGTACAAAGTGATTTTGTGCTAAACCCAGCCCACCTGAGATGAGGGAGCAGGGTTTCTTGATCTGGTGGCTGTGAGGTCAAGAAATCCTGGGCACAGCGGTGTGGCTGTTGGCACTTCACTCTGCCTGGATACAACAGATTTTCTGCCCTGCAGCATCAGAATTCAGTGGCCAGGTTGCTTACTTGGGCAAGACAGTTTGAGCATATTACACCAATCCTGGCCTGACTGCCCTGGCTGCCAGTTAGCTTCCAGGCCCAGTTCAAAGTGCTGGTTTTGACCCATATAAAACATCCTGGACTCTGCATTCATCATCTGAGGCCCTTTTGTAATATTTTGTTTTAAATTCTACTGCTGCTTCAGTTTTCTGTACACTACTTAGAGTTATTTTTAATACAGGTGTCTCCCAGCTTATATACGTTTGACTTGCGCGTGGTCGCATATACGCATGGTGCTAGGAAATAATTAAATAAATCATTTTAAACTGCAAAAGGCACGAAAAGGGCAAAAACAGCCCCCAAAGAATGGGAAAACTGCAAAAATGATGTGAAAAGAGCAGGAAAATGGCTAATAATCCCATGAGCCTTTGCACCAACCTTTGAGACCTGAGGAGAGCTGAAGTTTGAAAAAGGAGGTTTGGAGGGAGTGATTTTGGTGGAGTTTGGCTTTTTAGATTGCTTTTGCCACTATACACAATTTCACATATATATGTGGTGCCTGGGAACATAACCCTCCATGTAAGTGGGGAGACGCCTGTATATATAGAATACACACACACACACACACACACACACTCTATCTATCTATATAGAAACTAAATAATCAACCACTATCCTATTTTTCTACCCAGCTGTGTTCCCTACAAAAAACACCCCAACACTCGCCCATACGGAATAGAACAAAAAAATGTGTTTCAGCAATTGAACCTTATGCACATGTATTTGTGAGACTTAATATAATGTCCGAAAGTGACTGACAAAGCAGCTCTTGTGGAGACAGGCAGACTTCCCTTCCTAGGTCAGAGACAATGAATTGAATTTGGACTCCCAAGACAAACTGTTTGTGGACTTAAATTGTCATTCCCTGCCAAGGTCAGATTCCCTGGGCCTGGCCGGGGCTGCTTAGGAAACATGACTTTAAGCAGGACTGAACATGCTCTGGAAAGCTAAATGGTGTATCTCTCTGCCCCCTCCCTCTCCTGCAATGTAATCACTTTGAGCAGAGCCCTGAAATGAAAGGGATAAAGTTGTTTGTGGGTGTAATGGAGGAGGGGGGAGGGAGGAAAGAGCTTTAATCTTGCTGAGTAGATTACAGAGATTACTCCAGTTTAATCCTCCCATATCTGTCACTGATGCGATAAAGACCCTAACGAAACCAATGGAAGCCTCTCAGTGCATTGGGTGCTCCAAGTGGCTGTTGTGGTTGGGGTGACTGGGCAGGGGGTGGCAGCAGCAAATGCCTCCTGTTGGCTTTTTGGTACATTTAAAGGTAAAGGTAAAGGGACCCCTGACCATTAGGTCCAGTCGTGGCCAACTCTGGGGTTGTGGCGCTCATCTCGCTTTATTGGCCAAGGGAGCCAGCGTACAGCATCTGGGTCATGTGGCCAGCGTGACCGAGCCGCTTCTGGCGAACCAGAGCAGTGCATGGAATTGCTGTTTACCTTCCCGCCGGAGCGGTACCTATTTATCTACTTGCACTTTGACGTGCTTTCGAACTGCTAGGTTGGGAGGAGCAGGGATGAAGCAACAGGAGCTCACTCTGTTGTGGGGATTCGAACCACCAACCTTCTGATCAGCAAGTCCTAGGCTCTGTGGTTTAACCCACAGCACCACCCGCATCCCTTTTGTTGGTACATTTAGGGCAGAACCAAATGGGGTAGAATCGGGCAGGTTAGCCCTAAGGAGGGATCAGTGCACAGGAGCGGGCAGAGTACCTGCTTTTGATGCAAAAGGGCCACCGTTGACTCCCCCATGGCAGCATCTCCAGTTAAAGAAGTTAAAGAAGCAGGAGATGCAAGGAAGGTTCTTCTCTGCCTGGGACAACCCTGCAGAGTGACTGCCAGCCACAGCAGGTGCTGCTGGGGCTAGACGGGAAAACAGAGTGGCTTGGTATAAGGCAGCTTCCTATGCCCTTCACCTGTAGGTGATGTTGAGTCCCTGCACCTGGCAAAAGAAAGTCTGCTCCTGCCCAAAGAGTGTTCCCCCACCTACCCTGCACAGAGCACCTAAGAAGGTCAATGGCAGCCTGAGAGCAGGGGAAATCTCCTATGAAAGTAAAGAAGCTTTGGGCTGTGCATTGAGTCCTCTAGATCAGTGTTTCCCAACCTTGTGCCTCCAGCTGTTTTTGGACTACAATTCCCATCATCCCTTGCCACTGGTCTTGCTAGTCAGGGATGATGGGAGTTGTAGTTCAAAAACAGCTGGAGGCACAAGGTTGGGAAACACTGCTCTAGATGACATCGCATGGGGTAGTTGCCTTAGGAGAGCGAGAAAAATTCTCAGGGATGACTCACACCCCGGCCATCACCTCTTCAATCTTCTACCCTTGGGCAGGAGATATAGAAGTATAATCAGCCATACCAACAGGCTAAAAAATAGCTTCTATCCGTGGGCTGTTAGGCTGTTGAACGGAAAATAACATAGCAAAATTTACTTGCGAGGTGGTGTGTTGTTTGATAAGAGATTGAGTGTTTGGGTGGGGAGGGAGGCTTGTTTAATTTCATTGTACACAGGTTGTACAATGACATTATTATTATTAAGCTTCAGGGCTTCTAATTCTAGAGGGACCCCAGAAGCAGCTTTAGTCCACCTTTAAAAAATGGGTCTTGTAGATGCAATTTGAGTCTCATGATTTTTTGCTGTATATATTTCAACAATCCCAAAGTTTGAGAGTCAGTAGCATAGATGCTGTAAATGTTGTTGTAAACAACCCTGTTGAAGAAGATAACAGGTTACCCAGACCTTGTGGATGGTTGCAAAGGGGCCCCCAAAACATAGGTCCACCACTGTGTGAGAGAGACCCCAACTTTTCCAGGCAAGGGGGTCTGTCCTCAAAAGCCCCCACCCCCAAATGGTCTTGGGGCATGCAGCACTTATGTGAATGCGGAATGTCCTGCAATTGGGGCAGCCTTCATAGAATAAGTCAGTGATGTAGAAGGGCCACAGTAGCTCAGTGGGTAGAGAATCTGCTTGGCACCCACCAGGTTCCTGGTTCAATCCCCACTAACGGCATCTCCAGGTAGGGCTGGGGAAGACCCCTGCTGCCTGCTTTGCAGAGCCACTCACTGCCAGTTAATGTTGGAAATAAGGCATGAGTCCTTGACCATCTTCATGGCTGTTGAGTGCTGAGAGTGGGGAAGGCCAATGGCAGAGGTGCCCTTGTCTCCCTGTGTTCCCCTGAGCCACCAAGAGGAGGCTGATTTCTGTCTCCAGAGTCCAGGCAACCAGGCAGGCATCCTCATCAGGGCTGGTCCAAGTGTAGCAGAGAAAACAGGCAACCACACAAGTTGCACATATGGTATGACTGGAAAAGAGTTCAAGTTTGCAAATACGCCTAAGCAAAATTATACATGGGTGTGAACATGAGTGGCATGTTTGCTAACATGCCTCTGGGCGATGGAGTATGTTTGCAGGCGAAGGCCATCTTTGTGAGGACACCATCTGGGGTTGCTTGTCCTAAATCTAGAGTGCCATGCTCAGTGCTACACTCCTTAGAAGCATCTAGGCTTAGCACCACCAAGATGATGCTGGCCGGACTCATTTGGAGTGGCACCACTGAGGCTTAAGTGAAAGTAACCCCTTGGTAGCCAAGCTATGGGGTGCTCCACCTGGTGATTCTGTCCAGAGGAACTTCTCCAGCCACCCTTTGCCCCCCCCCCTTGCATGGCCTGGCCAGGGAGGTGTATATAAGATAAGCATTTGGTGGCATTCCACAATCAATATGGAAGCAGGAAATTGTTTGAAGTTCCCCTATTGCTAATTTAAATGCAGCATCTAACAGCCTCTTCCTTCCCAGCTGGGAGCAGCAAAAGGATCCCAACACAGAAGGATCCACTAATCACACCTTGATTGCTTTTATGCAGCTCATTAAGAGAACTCCGCAGCTCGTTAGGTGGGGAAGGGGGCTTTGATGAGAAATGGGCACCCAAGCGGATTTTCTTGCATTTTGTTCTTGGATTTCTGTTATCCCCTAAAAATAGCGAGCATTAAGGCAGCTGCCCAAAAGGAGGAGCCTTCCAGTTGGCACAAGGTGGAAGGAAGGAAAAAAACCAAACCAAAATTAGCTGTGCCAGAGACACACTTCTCCTAAGTGTGAATTCCAGGCTGCTGGACAGACCCTGCCTTTGCATGGACAAGACAGCACATAGTTAAACGATGGAACTCCCTTCCACAGGAGGCAGGGCTGGCTATCTACCTGGATGGGTTTAAAAGAGGATTAGACAAATTCATGGAAGAGAGGGCTATCAATGGCTACAAGCCACAAGGGCTATGCTCTCTTCCACTGTCAGGGACTGTATGCTTCTGAGCGATGCCAGTAGCTGGGAATCACAAGCAATAGTCCAATGGGCCAGACAGAGAGCTGCATTTGGATACCCCCAGGTCTGAAGTCCTCACCCCAATTTAGATCTTTGATTTTGGACAGCAACATCTCACGGCCAAAGGTGAGCAGGGTTCCTTCTCTCTCCTCTCTATAGTCTAAATCAGGGGTCTGCAACCTTTAAGACAAAAAGAGCCACTTGGACC